ATTTAAAGAGATAATAGCAAGTCATTAGAGATATCAATACACAAATACAAAAATTACTAAGAATCCCTGCAGAATTGACAGCAAAACAACAACAACAAAGCATCAATAATGAGACCTAGGAACATCACAGAAAAACTGATAAAAACTAAAGATAAAGAGAAAATCCTAAAAGCAGCCAGAGGAAAAAAGACACATTCTCTTCAAAGGAGTAATAATAATGTTGGTTAATGGCTGACTTTTCAACAGAAATGATGGAAGCTTAAAGACAGTGAAACAATGTTTTAAAGTGCTGAAAAAGCATAATTCAAAAATAATGGTAAAAATACGACATGTTCAGATAAGTAAAAACTGAGATTTGTCACCAGCACTCACTTTCGTAAAATGCTAATGGAAGTCTCATTGAGCAGAAGAAAATAATCCCAGATAAAAGCATGGTAATATAGGAAAACATAAAGAGCAATGGGAAAATATGGGTAAATAAAAATAAATACTGATTGTTTAAATAACACCAATAGGTTTTTAAAATATGTAGGTTAAAATTCATGACAAGGATAACACAAATGGTGTGAGGGTGATAAACAGAATTAAAATGCAATAAACTACCTTATTACCCAGTATTATATTTATCCCCCCAAAATGAAAACATGTCCACAAAATGACTTGTCCACAAATAAATGTTTATAGAATCACTATTAGTAATATCCTGAAACTGGAAACAATTCAAATGTCCATCTATAGGTGAACTGACAAACAAATTAAATGGAATACTACTCAGCAAAAACAAACAAAAGAAAGAAAACAAAAACCATGAAAACAATATTGACCGTGTAAAACTATGAATGAATCACACAGACATTTTATTGAGCAAAGGAAACCAGATTTATGAGTATATAATAATGCTATTCCATTTACATAAGATTCTGACCAAGCAGAACTAATTTATGATACTAAAACTCAGGACAATGATTATCTTTGGGAGTATTAGAAACTGGGAAGGGGAAGGAGGAGACTTCTGGGAGGCTAATAATGCTCAATTTCTTAATCTAGTTGCAGATTACATGAATGTATTTTTTTAAGTATAAAAATATATTTCAAACATACAGAAAGTTATACAAAGAATAACAAAACTGAATAAACCAACAAAACATTACCAATATAGTTGATATGTGTGCTCTCCTTAACTGCACCTCCAGCCACTCCACCAGTGATAAACCACTCTCACGAACTTGGTGTTCACCATTCCTGCACATTTTGTAATTTCACTCTTATATAAGCTCACCTAAACAATATATAGAACTGTTTTTGCATGTTTTTAAACTGTACATAAAAGGTAATTTGATTTTTATTTCTAAAAGCATCCTAAAAAGGGAACTGTTGAACTGTACAACTGTTGAGTGTCAAACTCATCAATCTGAGGAGTAAGGAAATAAAGAGAGGTTGTGGGCACAGTTTAACTGTGAAGTGGACCAAAGAAAGAGTTGTGACAAGTGAGGCCAAAGAAAGAGTTCTTAAAAATAGTAGATCATGCTTGATCTAGTTGAGAGGAAACAATGAAGACAAAGAAGAGATGAGAAATCAAGGGAGGAACAAAGTCCTTGAGAAGGTGAGAGGGGATGGGACGTGAAGTGCTGGTTGTTTGTTCTTTGCTAAGGACATAATGTCTTCTTGCTTTTTAACTAGAACAAAATAAAAGGGCAAAGGTTGTTTGGTGGTGGAAAGATAAGGGAGTTCCCCCATCCAATGGTTGCTACTTTTTCAGTGATCATGAGTCACTATCTGAAAAGGGTGGATATGAGAAGTGTTAAAACCTGTGGAGAAAAATGGCATGAAATTGCATTGGAAAAGGCTGGAAAAGCATCCCAGTATGGTAGGGAGTGGTTAAGAAAAATCAAAGGTTCCAGTAACCAAAGGTTAAATGCCCAACAGAAATCCAAACTCTCACAATATAGTATTGATACCGTTGTAATTAACCTAGTTATTAATAACAGGAAAGGAGCAATGGGAAGGCCAAATACTATAGGGATGTCATTTGAGCAGCTTCACCAAGTAGCTAAAGCTTTACACTCCCCAGGGAGCCACCGGTCAGTCCACTCCCTGCAGGTTCCTAGGGAAAGGGACTGGACAGGAAGAAGGGTGGGTGCATGTGCAGTAAGTCGGGGTAACCTCGGAAAGATACTTGTCTGTCAGTCACATGTGGGAACAGGTCATTGGCCAAAATGGACATGGCCACTGCAAGGGTGTGAAATTTGGGATATTTAATCCCTTGCACAAGGAACTCACTCTCTGTGCTCTCATGCTCTTGATTCCTCTTATGCTCCTGGCGCTCTGATTGCTCAGGGCACTCTCCTGTACTTGCCCATATGGCCCACCGCCAGGTGGACCCCACACACAACGGACTAATAGACTGCTGCTAGCCTGATGCTGAACTGGACCCGGTTCCAACATGGAAAGGAAACTCTGGACACTGGCTCTGCTTCTATCTCTGCTGAAACCCCAGCTACACTTCTTCTATGGTTGGACTAAGGGAAAGAAACAGAGATGCAATTCCACACAAATAAAAATCCCCCATCCTCCCATGTGAGTCTCAGAAAATTCTTTTTCTCAAGATATTATAAGGACCCCCACCCCCAGCACCCAGTGGGGAAGAAGATACCCCAATTTCTCTCATAATAACATGAGCTCAAAAGCAGAAATGGTATTATTCATCTCTGATTATGCTACACAAAACACAGCACACCCTATATTAGATACTCAAAAGGGAATGAATACATGAACGAAGATTAAATTTTTTCATATTTTCTTAGCATATTTTAATATATCAGTCATATTCTACAATGGAACTGAAAAAAAAACAGTATTTTCCAAAATAATGCACCTTAGATGCAAATGCATTTTCCCTTTTTCTCATTTTTAGTTCTGTGTGTTCTTAGAAGAAAAGCAATCTGTGTCTCCCATGTAATCAATTCTCCATATTATATAAAGAAATGACATGTTCATCTTCTAAAATAGTAAAAATCATCAATGGCCCAATTCTTCTGGGAAATGAAGAGACAGAATCTATATCCCTTTATTACCACAATTTGTGACATCGTAAAGACATAGCTGATGAACGGATTAGAATCTCTTGACAAGGATTAACCTCTTCTCTGTATTCAAGATGTTCCTGTTGCCGGTAAGTCACACTGCACACTGAGTGAAGAAAACCTTAGCTCATGTACAGAATCTCAGGGTGGTCCCAGCCAAACCTAAATGTGCCCCGAACAGAAGCACTGGATGTCTTAGGAGATGAGTTAGCACACTGTGTTATCATTTATCAATTATGAAATGAAAAGAGATTATAAATGCATTACTTGCAATATAAATTATCTGTTTTACTACACTAAGTTCCTTTTAAAAGGATTCCATTCATGCAAGAAGCACAGCTTTGGTTGGCCGAGCAGTCAGATTTTTGCGCATATAATTCATGTTTATACTTACTATATATGCTGAGTGCGCTTTCCTGGTTCCTGTTGCCACAACCAGACTGTAAATGCATATGTTTTTTACATGCTGAACTACAGTCATTCAGAACTTCAGCTGTCAAGTTTGGAGCTAATATTCTCTTATATGCATTTCATCGTCTACTACCAAAAATAATTATTTGCTGTCAGAAGCTCCTAACATAATATATAAAATGGCAAGATCCATTTAAAAAAAATAATCTAGCTGTTTAACTAAATGCAGCTACATTGTACGTTTTTTTCCTTGAAAACAACCCCTTTCCAATCATTCTCTTTACTAAGTTATTATAAACCCTGGCCAAGCAGTAAAATAGCAGAACATGTTAAATACCAACAAACCACAAATAGCAGTGTTTACAGGGAGGAAGAGGAGGAAAAATCTGTTTCATGCTAGACCATCCTTTGAGGTACTGTCATTTTAAGTGTGGCGGCATCAATTATTTCTCCTACGCCGAAAGGTCTACATATTTAAAGGTTCTGTAGGTCCCCAAAGAAAATAAGCAACCATTTCTCTGTGTCATTAAACACAACAGAATACCAGTCCCGTGCTGGTTTTAAAATACCAGCAGAATTCTGAGTGTGAATGTTAAGGTTTAATATTTCCATTTCAAGAGAAGCAAAGAGTTGTTCTCTGGCCAAAAAGTATTGGGACCATACTTCAAGTTGTCAATTGCACAATATTTCTAGGGCCAAAGACTAGCTCCATTGCAGAATCCTGTGATCCTCTGAAGAAATCCTGGGGATCTCCTAGTGACTAGTCCAATCTGATACCCAAGGCAGGAATTTTTCCCCCAGGACCCCTGACAGAGGGTCAGCCTATGTTTCAATTACTCCTCGGGTGGGGGAGTTCTCAAGAGAAGATTCCCAAGGGGTATGATGAAAAGGCTAGAACCAACCACTCAGACAGGGAGTAAGGCTTCAGTCAGTAAGCCTATAAGATGCAAACAGCGTTGCCAAACACTAAAAGCAGACTTCCAAAAGAGTAATATTCAGAATCAGCAATCATAGGGGGTGCAACGTTGAGGTGTAGACCCCCCAGTTCTGGGACCATCTGAGGTCTCTTCATCGTCCTGGGGAGTAGCTCCTACCCTCAGGGAAGCAAGGTGACTTTGACTGATTTCTTAAAGTAGGAATTGACTCTTTAGGGCTCACAGCAAGGGTTTGTCAAGCTCAGAAAGGACCACATTCCTTCTGAAAACCAAGACAAGGGACCCCCTGGTGGAACTGCTAATGCTAGAAATACTCTTAACTTTGGTCTTAAGATCTTCACTCCAGTAAATCAATACATTCCCAGCTCTTTTTATAAAAGGTGAATATAGGCTGTGCTCTAACTGAATTTGGCTGGGGTAGGGTTGATGTGTGGGGTTGCTGGTTTAAGCACAGCCCTTCACCCCGCCGTGCAATCTGGCTTACCCTCCCAGGAAAGAGGCGAGCGCGCCGGGCTGAGCTACCAGCAAGCACATCCCCCCAGCCGGTGCCCGGGACGGGGCGGTCCGGCCCTTACCTGTCGATGCTGATCACGCACAGGGTCATGATTGAGGCCGTGCAGCACATGACGTCCATGGCGATGAACACGTTGCAGAAGAAGTGGCCGAAGATCCACTTGCCCCCGATAAGGTCAGTGACGCTGACAAAGGGCATGACCGCCACGGCCACCGAGAGGTCGGCCAGCGCCAGGGACACGATCAGGTAGTTGGAGGGCTGGCGAAGCTTCTTGACGAAGCACACCGAAATCACCACCAGGCAGTTGCCGGCGATCGTCAGCAGCGTGATGAGCGTCAGGATGGAGCCGATCACAACTTTCTCGACTCTGCCGTAGTTGATCTGCTCCCCGCAGCCGGAGGCATTGTCCGGGGGCCCGTCCCAGGTGGGCACCGGGCTGGCGGTCACCTCGGGGACCCCGCGCAGCAGGTGCGGCGCCCAGGAGCTCGCGACCGGGCCGGCGCCGTCGGGGCTCAGGTCCGGCAGCCCTACCTCTGGCAGGAGGACTGAGCGGAGGTGCCCGTAGAGGTCCGGGCGGCCGCTGCTGTTAACGTCCATCATCGTGCCGCTGTGCGCTGCTGCCCATGGAGCCGGCGCCCCGCCACGCGCTCCGGCTACGGGTTTAGGGGCTTCACCTCACCGGTTCCGCTCCGCCCGGCCCAGCCATGGGGCCCGCGCCGGCCGCTGGGGGGCGCCCGGCTCGGCCTCGCGGCCCCGCACGTCCCGGGGCCCCAGCCGCTGCGGACAACGCGGGAGCGCGGTCGCGCGGGGACTCCCTGCGGGAGCGCCTCGGGCACCCGACGGGACGCCCGGACGCGCGGTTCTCGTGCGGGCTGACCGGGATC